AGATGGCAGAGCTCTCCTGAGGGCAGGGACTGTATCCTACTAGAGCTGTGAGCCTGACATGGGGACAATTACAGGTGATTCAGAGGACTGGGCAGGAGCCCCCTTGGGCTCATCTGTCAAGAGACATCAGGTTCCCTGGCACAGGCCAGGCCTCAGTGATGACAGGGATCTGTATTATGAAAAGTCAGTCGTGAAGAGGAAAAGAGCTTCCCGAGGCACAGTGTCCCAGCTATGGTGTGGGAGTGGATGGTCTCCCTGCAGTGAGTGGGAGGGGGCGACAACAGTAGCCAGGAAGGCCTGTCTTTGTCTCCCAGACACCTGCCTCTGCCCCTGCTGATGCTCAGACATGCTGTGATGGGGGACGTGTGGTCCATGATGCCGGGGGTGGGGGGTCAGGCTGGTGGGGACTGGGCTGTTCACTGAGGCTGACCCTGACGGTTCACAGCCCAGTGCTCCGATCCCTGGCCCGACTCAAGCCCACCATGACGCTGAAGGAGGGACTGCGGCGGGCCGAGCAGGAATGGGAGCGCACAAGCGACTCTGACCGAATGACGTATTACGCGATGGCGGCAAAGTGAGTCCACGTCCTGGGCCCAAGGGCTGCGGCGGGTGAGGGTGACACCCTAGGGCAGGATCTGGCTGTGGTCAGAGAGGAGGAGGGAGGAGGCAGCTCCCCGAGCACAGGGTCCCCGCAGCCCAGAGGCCAGACTACACTCCAGAAGCCTCTCCTGCACCTTGACAGCTTGGGTCTATTCGTCCTCTGCCCAGGGCTCCGCCCTGCCCTGAAGCGGCCTTCTTTGCCTTGATGAAGGGCTCACTTGGGGTGGAGTGGGGAAACTGTGAGCCCAGTGGGGTCAAACTCCAGCCCTTGTGGCTGTGCAGGGAAGCGTGTTCCACCCGCCAGCCTGCTGCCTCCTTAATGCTGGGGGCCTGGCGGCCACTCACGTGGCATTTCGGACCCTCTCTCCTCCTGAAGTGTGGCCTGACTTGGTAACCTGGTTCCCTCCTGGAGAGGCTGCAGAAGCCAGAGTGTCTTTTACCCCAAGGGTCTCTGGCTCTTCATGAGACTTCTTTGGGTAAACCCTTTATTTGAAAAACCAAAAACAAACCAGCATTTCTCAGAGGAAAGGAAAGCCTCGCCACTGACCTTAGGGTCCACATCCTACAACCTGTCCAGGGTCCTGTCTCCAGGCTTGTGTTCCAGGACTCTCAGCCTCAGCCCAGGATCCTGGATCTGGACAAGGA